TGGTAGAAATGCAATTTGCTGCAACTGTTATGGAAGAAAATAGAACTTCCATAAGTTCCAGCATTTGCCCACATTCAAAGGAAAAGTTGCCCACATGGGAAAAGACTCCTGCAGTCAAATGTTCCTTTCAGCCCTCCGGAATCAGTCAGGAAGTGGAAAAACCTAAGTGTCCACCAGCGGATGAAAGACACGTGCGGGTGATCTCGTTCAAAACGGAAACGGAAACGGTAAACCTTGTACACTTTAGAGGTGCCCAGCTGGTTGGGAGAAGCCAGAGACAGTAAAGAAACGGCAGAAGAGAGAAGACCTGATTACTGGGCTCTGAGTTAGGGTACATAGGAATAAGTATTTCTGATTGTGTATTGGACACACCATGATTATAAAAAATAATGATGTACATGTCAAAACTAAAAGGAAACATTTTGAAAGTTTTCACTACAAACAAATGATAAATATATGAGGATATAAGATGACTAACTTGAACATTATATAACATATACATGTATAAATATTATAACAAGGACCACCACTATTATGAACAATTGGCATTTTTACTTATCAGTTAAAATAATTTTGTTTAAAATATTGGGCAATAATATATCTGTTATTATAAATGACACATGTTTTAAATAGCAATCATTGTTACTATATTTATTTGTAGTAGCCAGATCATGGAACTTAAAGTCATAACAATAACCTTGTTGATGTGTACATCGAGCAAACAGAGAAACCACTTCCATTAGCTCATCTACTTACTATAGATTCTTTAATTTCATGACTCGAGTATCAATAATAAGCTAAAATGTTTAAAATGGCCTACTGAACTTTGGATCTCATTAATTTATTCACAAATATAATTTGCAAATCAACTACATATAAACATTGGAAAGCTTTTAATTAGAAAAATTAAATTAAGAAATTGAGAAATAATAAATCATTGCAATGTCAAATAGTATATAACACCTCTTGGTCTCAGGACCGAATTAACTTCAGAGTTTGGAGACACAAGAAACCCCTACAGACAAGCCAAGTTATTGTAGCTTTTTTCAACTCAGGGAAATACACAAACTACAGAAAGTTAAAAATCACTCTTGTATTTTTCTATTATCTTCTTATAAACCTGAATAAATCAGTCGTTCATAAATTTTTAAGCACCCTTTCCTGGTGTCCTGTTCAATTTACTTGTTGTAGTTTAGAACAAATAGAAGTTGAAGATTACATAATTTATACCAAAGAAAATCAATTCCTGATACTTGGAAGTCTCTCATGAACACAAAAGAATGGAGGTACCTTAGAGATACACACACACACACACACACACACACACACATCAACAAAGACAAACACACCTCTTCACAAAGTTGAGCGTGTGCACAGCTCTGCTTCTTGGAAGGTGTCATAGCTTATTTCTAGATTCCTCAAAGCCTGGTGTGCTCCTAGGGAGGCTTTTCAAGTGTGCCAAGAGTTAGGGTGTGTGGAGATGGACTGAAGATATGTGATGATTAAATTAACCCACTAACTGCTTTAACTTAGTTCTGGTCCAGGAAAATGGGCAGCCCCACCCTGGTTGTGAGTGGCAATAACCAACTGGCTAGTAGCCTGAATGAATAAAAAAGGAAGTTGGCTCTGTGCTGTAGCTTGGATGCCTCCTCCTGCCAGGGGAGGACCTTCCCTGCTCTGTGATGCTTCTCCACATGCCTGTCTGGGAGCCATTGTAGGGTTGACTGAACCCTGAACAGACTGTCGTGACCTAAACGAAACCTTGCTTTGTTTAACTTGTGGGTATTTTCTTCCAGCAATAAAACGTAAAGATACCAAGACAGAGGCCATCTATTAGCATCTGTCTTCTGTTTG